ATGCTTTATTCTTCCTTCTTTCCTTTCTTTCTCTACCTCTCTCACTCTCTCCTCCTCTCTCTCTCTTCTCCATCTCTCTTTTTTTCTCGCCCCACAACAATTTTTTTAAAGCCTTATATTGAAATTTATATTTTTCTTTCTTCCTATTTTAATATTACCACTTTTCCTTTTTTCTCTTTTTTTTTTTTATTTTCCTTCCAGATGGATAAATTGACTCCATTTATTAACAAAAACTCTGGTCTGGAGAGATGGATGTAAAAGTCGAAATAAATTATAACTGAATGGATTTTTAAGGATTCTGTATCCATTATATACAATATATATATATATATATATATATATATATATATATATATATATATATATATATATATATATATATATATATATATATATATATATATATATATATATATATATATATATATATATATATATAACTCCCTAATGAACCAAATGATAACACACACCCACAGCAATACACACGCTTACACATATCATACTTACTCACTCCCTAAGAACCAAATAACACACGCACAAACACTAAACAGAGACACATCCCCTCACCAGGTCCAATAAAACTGTCAAACTGACCACGGGAATTCAGAGTAGCATGGATCTACCCAGCTCTTATCTCAAATAACAACTTAAAAGAGACTGTTTGACCAACACAAGGAATGTTAAAAGTTTCATGTTAAAAAGATAAAAAAATAAAAAAAACAAACGAAAACTACAGACAAAAGTTCATTTTCTCCATCAAGACATTCATTTCTGTAGTTTACTGCTACCAGCAAGCAGAAATATTTCTCCTCCCGATGATGGCCATTTTGGTCGAAACTAGTCGAGGAATCTAAATGAAATAATAATAAAAAAAATGAAAAAATATTAATCTACAACCCAGTGTGTCTAAAGATTTTAATTTTTTAATATTTTTTTATTGTTCAAAATATATATATATATATATATATATATATATAATATAAAAGTGAACACAGAAGAGTCAACAGGCTGTTCCATGGTAGACACAACTATCAAATTGCTGATTGCATCAGCATCAAATAGACTGTCGCCCCTGAGTGTTGACTTGATTGTTCATTTTATATTTATATTTACATATGCTCTATCTCTGATATTGAGCACTTTTATCCCATAACTATAAACTATATTTCTTATATATATATATATATATATATATATATATATATATATATATATATATATATATATATTATATATATTTAGATCAGCATATTTTCATTGAAACAGGTTTGGTTAAATAATTTAGACATATGTTGATTATTTTTGTTGTGATCTTTTCAAATTTGAACAATGAAAAATATTAAAAAATTATTAAAAAATAAATTTCATATATATATGTATATATATATATATATATATATATATAAATTCACTTGAGGATGAAATGGAACTAATGTTTTTAATTTAATTACAAAATTAAATTCAAAGTTTTCAGCTTCCATTTTTGAAACATGGTTAATACTGTGTAGCAAAATCAGTTAATTTATAACATTAATGCTCTGTAAATTTACATTGAGCACTATTTTGTAAAAATAAAAATACCAATAAGAACACCGGATTATATATCTTACTGTTCTTTCTTTTTATTTATATATAAATATAGATAGATAGATATATATATACATATACATATATATTATGAAACAGACAAAGTCCGACAATTTTTTTTTAAAGACATTTTTTAATGTTTGTACGTTCTTTTTATAGATACAAATATTTCCATAAATGCTCTTTTTATAATAAACAATATTAACAACATTTACTGGTCTGAATGTATGAGAAATATTCATAAAAATATGCATCCTCCAACAGGAATTGAACCTGTATCCTATACAGAACTCTCATATAGCCTGACGTGCCTTAACTGATTGGGCCACAGAGGAGTGTTTTGGTTAGCAAGGTCGATTTTACTGTTTTTAAACACAATTCTTCATGATTTTCTCTCATACATTCATATCTGCTCAGTGCATATCCAAATCTAAACAAATGACGTCACACATTATGAAATGGACAAAGTCCGATAATTATTTTTTTTAAGACATTTTTTATGTTTATACATAATAGATACAAATATTTAAGTAAATGCTCTGTTTATAATAAACAGTATTAACAACATTTTCCAGCCTGGATGTCCAAGATATTTTCTTAGTAAATATGCGTCCTCTGACAGGCCGGTAAATGATGTTAAAAAAATAATTGTTGGATTATATATATATATATATATATATATATATATATATATATATATATATATATATATATATTTTATAATATGCTTTTAAATCATTCTTTTTTAAAATATAATAATAAGAGTTTTCAGATATGTTCATTGGATAACTTTAGGAGTAAATGTCTGTAAAAATGGTAACCCTTGATGATGATGATATTATTATCATTCTACTAATACTATTAGTACTACTACTAATAATACTACTTCTTGCTGCATAATAACATAATTCAGTAACCCTCTCCTTTGAGTGGCTTTTGATCCTTGTATTGGGTGAACTTAAGTAACTAATCCTAGGTTTCAGGTAATGACCAGTAAGGGATTCTACTGAGCAGAAAGTAAGGTTCCATCATCCTGGACTAAAAGCTGATACCAAATGTTTTATTGTTGTTTCACAGAACTAATGCTTCCTAACTTGAAATTATCAAAGCATGCATACTAAAAAACAGTTTACACCAAATGCTGATTCTATGATGAATATCCAGAAAGAGTTGACCATCTTGTATCAGTTTGCATGGTATTAACATTTACCAAATGTAAAACTCGGCATGACAGGGTGGGCCAATATTTACACTGGAAAAAATCTGCAACTTTTATTGGAAGGAAAAATTGGTGTGAATACCACCCAGACCCAATTACAGACCTGTAACAATTCTGTGGGACTTTGCAATACACACAGACAGAACAATCAAAACTAATTGCCTAGACATCGTGATCAAAGACCACAAAAACAAAATCTGCTTTCTTATGGACATGGCAGTTCCAGCAGATTGTAATTTAGCTTTGAAGATTTTCAAAAAATTATCAAAATACAAGGATCTTGAAGTGGAAATCTCAAATATGGGGTATCTGAAGACATCAGTAATTCCAGCTATGGTTGGAGTCTTGGGTTTGATTAGAAAAGATTCTGATAGACTCGTTGAAGGAATTCCTGGCAGCCCATGCCTTAAAGAAATACAAAACATTGTTCTTACAAGTACAGCTTACATCTTATAAAGGAATTTTATCTACATGCAGTCATAATGGCATTTCTGACCTTGTCTCTGGTTGGGCTCTGAAAGAAAATGAGTATACAACAGAAACCAAAGGAAATAATAATAATAATGATAGTGAAGTCATCAAGAGTCTTTAGATGTTACATCAAATAAGCTTTGGAGTAAACATCTATTAAAAAAAAAAATGGAAATACTTCTGATGTATAGTATAGCTGGTCACTCGTATTCAAGGATACTCATCTACTAGGGCAGCGAGCCAATCCCTATTGCAGACGCTTGCTCAGGCGCATTTGTGTTTATTCAACACCCACAGAACCCACCTGTTATTTATACTGCAACTATGCTGAGCAGACCTTAGTTACAGTTTCTGGGAAAGAGCACATTATCTAGCATGATCAACAATTTGAACAAGGCCAGCATGCTCAAGCCTTCAGATTCAAAGACTTGTGACTTCATGCTAGGACAGCTATCGACGGCCCCCAAGGGTTCTGTCTACCCAATTTCACTCACAAGGCTTGGGTCAACCCGTGGTGTAGTTTTTGGGCACTTTCCAAATGTATCATACACTGGGATCAACACCTCCAGTCTGATAACATCAGGATGTCGCCTTCCTGATCAATCGACCATGATGAGATTCAAACCTGGTTCTTATGGTCAGAATGCGAACGTTCTAACCACTCGACCAAGTGCCCCGTGATGCATCCTAATAAATAACAATAATAATATAGTAGAATTAATTTAAATGTGCACATGAAATAAACATTGAAGTAAAGGTCTAAAAATGATATTTTGATATGCACTAATACATAATATTAACAACATGGCTGAGTCATAGGTTGTCTTCAGATTTATACATGAAATGAGCTCACAAGTAAAGAGCACCATCCTGAGTATGACAAAAACTACATCTGCATCCTGGGTAGGATGATAAACAACATCCAACAGCAAGGCCTCTGATCAGGAGGTTTTAAGAAGCATGGCACCATGTCTTAATTGCTGGTGTTCCCAGGTACACCCAGACCCGGGGTGGTAGCACCTGTTAGGGTTCCAGCTATGGGTAAATAGTTAATCCCCCCCAAACTGGGGTCAAAACACAATGAAAGTGTAAAAATAGGTTTTAATACCAGAAATACTTTGTAAAAAAAATTATTACCAGCAATAAATTTTTGAAAAAAAAATTACCAGCTATACATTTTTGAAAAAAAAAATTATTATCTATACATTTTTGAAAAAAATATTACCAGCAATAAAAATCTTGTTGGCATTAAATAGTCCATTGAGGTTGATATGCCATAAAATAAAACCAAACCAAACCAAACGTAAAGGGCAGTAAAAAAAAAAAAAGAGATTGATTTGATATACTCAGATAGTTGATTTTCTTTGCTTCTATATTTCTGAACTTCTCAGAAATCAGGCTTTACATATTGCAAGAATAACAATATTGAGGAATTATCATTGATAGTTTTTAGACTCTTCTTTGCAAATGGTAGTACCTCACTTCTTTAAACTTACAATCACCTATTCTCTGCCAAAAATAAATTTCCTCAACCTTCAGTGACTGTGGGGGATTTAAAAATACCTGAATATTCCTTTAGAGAATAAGGACTTGAAATACTGATATGGTGTCAAAGATATTCAGGTGAGGTAAAAGTTGTGATAGCATCTGTCTCAGCAAAATATATACTTCTAAGTTGGTGTCAGATTGATTTGCCCCTCTCAAACCATAATTATGAATAGGCTTATGGCCACACCATGTTGAAATACTAGTTCCTCTCTGATCATCAAAGTTAAGCATTGTTGGGCCTGGTCTGAACCTGGACAGGGGACCACATGGCAATACCAGGTGCTGTAAGCTGCTTGGGAAAGGTATGAATTCACTTTTTCTCCTTCCAGCTATGAGTTAATGAGTAAGACTTGTATTACTAAATCATTATTATCTCCCCCACCCACCAATTCTGACAATCTAAAAGTATTTTCTGGCTTTAAATAACCTGCAAAGGGTTGATAAGCCATAGAAAATGAATGAATGAATCAATCAGTCAGTACATACCTGTCACATAATCAAGTACTTGTCACTTTATACACATAAGATATATGATAAAATATATTTTTAAGGTATGCTATGTTTATGGGTAAAAGTGGTCAATTTTAAGGATAGAATGTATGTAAATATAAAAATAGACATTGAAATCAACATCTAGTGGCGACAATCTGTTTCATGTTAAACACAATCATCAATCCATTGATGTTGATATGGTCTGATGATATATATATATATATATATATATATATATATATATATATATATATATATATATATATATATATATATATATATATATATATATATATATATATATATATATATATATACACACACACACATATATATACATACTACACATTCAGACACAGGTTTACAGCCATATCATGTTGAAACATTGGTTCCCCATAAAATGACTGAAGTTAAGCAGCATCAAGCCTGGTCAATACAAAGATGGGTGACCACTTGGGATTACCAAGTGCTGTAAGCTTGAATGTATGGGTGGTGTAATGAATAATAGCTCAGAATTGTTAATTGGAGAGTCAAGTTTGGTTCATTATATTCACTTATGTTCAAATATTGTTGGTAAAGGCATGAATCCACCTATCCTACCTCCAGCTATTTAATTAATTAGTTAATTAGTAAGATTTGTATCACTAAAACAATTATTATCTACCTAACCCCCCAAAAAAAAAAAAGGATTGTTTTCTTAAGAATTACTGGAGAACTGGCAGAGAAGGAAAAGAGACAGGAGGAAACAAAATAAAACGGAATAATGACTAGTGAGACCACTGCCTCAGAAACAGCAGCACGACAGGTGGCACACAACTCCTGGAATAAAATGTGCCAAGTGAACAATTTCACAAACCACTGAATTTCTGACAATAGCAAATCAAGTCTCACCAACTGCCCACTGCTGGTTTTCCCATTGCTTTTTTTTATATCAGTCAGTTGACATAGACCTGGATCTGGATATGTCAAGCTGTTCTGCTGCTAATAGGGAAAACCCAGGTGTGACTAGCTTTGACAGACATGTCCACACACAATTCAGGTCCTCTTTTGCATCTGTACTGACACACGTTCATCACAATGGCTTTAATTGTTTTTGTATATTGTTATTTTTATTGTTATGTTTTTTTTAATTTTTTATCAGGTGAGTTTAATGTTTTCAGGGAAATTATTGTTAATTGATATTCAGTTTATATTTTTGTGTTCATTATAGAACATTATGGATATTTAGAATATTAAATGAATTCACTGACAGGGGTTTGTGTTTGTTGATTTTTACAAACAGACGTTTTAAATATCAACATCCTCTTCCATGCAATCCAAAAGACAAGACTTAAGATAAACCTTTCCAAAACAGAAACTATGATCTGGATTTGGAATGAAAGCAGTGATGACACCTACCTAGAATCCATCATAAAAAATCAGAATATGGAATTAATAAATGCTAAAGGCTTCTAATGCTTTGGTGTATGGATCAGTTATAATAAATTTAGTATACAAGATACGGAAGTTGAACATAGAATATGCTGTGCAACGTATAATTTTACCCAACACTGCAAGTTGCTATAAAACCAAAATCTTAAACTAAGAACTCAAGTCATTCTCTTAAATAGCTTTGCCAAGTCTAGACTTTCATATGAATGCTATGCATGGCATCCAATTTGTTCAAAAATGTCTAAACTATCAGCTATGTAGAAACATTTTCTCAGATCAAAGATTAAAAATGGCTTCAAGTAAATGAATCCTCTAGGTATTAAAGAAAAAAATCCTTCCTTGGATCTTATAGATTGGTGCTACAGAATCGCAAAGAACTTTACCAAATAGCTTTGTCAAGTCTAGACTCTCAGATAGATGTCATGTGTGGCATCCAACCTTTCCAAAAATGTCTAAGCTAGCAGCTATATAATTTTTTTTTCTCAGATCAAGGATTAAAAATGGATTCAGGCAATGCTTAGTATATATCTAATTTTGTTCATTAATTTATAAGGATAATGAACTGTGTGCTAAGTCTGGTGAGTATAATAAATATTTAGCTGGGTAACAAAAAAATCAACATTATTTACCATGAAGTAGTACTTCAGATAAACCTTTCCAAGACATAAACTATGATCTGGAGTTGGATAATAAAGTGATAATAGATAGTAAACATTTCAAATACCTCAGTGTATAGATCAGTCATAAAAAATTTAGTATAGGGTGTAAGAAAATTGAACATAGAATAGGCATAGTACTATGAAGCATCCCAAGAAATAAGACTCAAGATAGAAATTGAAATGAAATCAGTGAAGGCACCTACGCTGAATCCATCATAAGAATTTAGGATGTGGAATTATTAAAAACCAAACACTTCAAATATTTTAGCATATGGATCAGTTGTATCAAATTTAGTACAGGAGATAAGGAAACTGAATATAGAATAGGCTGTGCTAGGGATAGTTTCATCCAACATTGCAATTTGCTACAAAACCAAAACATTAACCTGAAACAGAAAACATGAGTAATATTCTTAAATAACCTTGTTATGTCAAGACTTTCTTATGGGTGCCAGGTATAACAAAAAACCTGTTCAGAAGCATCTAAACTTTCAAATGTATACACTTCTTTATAAAATTAATGGTTGAATATTGCTTTGAATAAGTGAAGCCTGAGGGTCTTGGTAAATACCATTCTTCTTCAAACCTTTTGGAATGACACTACAAAATCATAAACAAAGAACTATACCAATGATACCACTTGAAGACTACCAACAGCAGCAACAATTAAAATGGATAGCACATGTAACTTGAAAAGAATATAATAACATAAGATATTGATGTTCCACACTATTTCCAACAAAAGGTTAGGATGGCTGCATGTTCAGATTACATTGGGTTACCAGTATAGGTTCTTTATATTATTTATTTGAAACTCTGAAATAAACATACAGAATCAAAGGTATAAACAAATAATATATATTTATTTATTTGACTTTGATTTGTGTGAGTCCTTTGTAAATTGGGGTTGTGAAAGTTTGTTGGGCTTGTTATTTGATAGTTTACTTTTGTATTAGTCATCATTTTATTGGCTACTGTCAGGAATATGCTTGTTTTAGAAATAGGTACGGTTTCAGTCTAAGGTGTATTCTCAGTCCTCTGAAGGGTAGAAAAATGTCTTAAGCAGATGACTGCTTACTTTCTTCATGCAATATACTTGGCTCATTTCTCTGGCAGTTCCTTCTTTGTCTCTACCTGTCAGCTGTGTCTGTTTATATCCACTTAAGAAATGGCTCCAGACTACTGGCGCAAAGCTTGGTTTTGGCAAACATCAAAAGTCTCTTTTTTTGACAGGCCAAAATTCTTTTATTTTCCAGTGTTCCTTTCTTTTCCATATTTTTTATAGTTGAATTTACACTTGGAGGCTCTCATATTTTTGGTATATTTCTAGTCCCAATGACTAGACCCTGGGATAGGAAACTTCTGCTATTTTACAGTTGTGTTAAATTTTTTCTTCTTCCTCTTTTTATTTGAGGGATCCCTTCTCATTAGTTGAGCAAGAAGTATAGGAAGAGAAGGGTAAAGAGAGAGAGAGAGAGAGAAAGTGATGGGTCTTAAAGGAAAGCAAATGCTTTATTTTAATTTGAATTCTTTTTTTTGTTTATATATTTTATTTTCATATTTTATTTTATTTTACATTTGGGTTCACCCCACCATTACCAGTGTCACAGAGTGGGGTTTGAGCACTGGAGGCAATTTAAACAATTGTGTCTCCTCTTTAGCCATGAGCTGTGTTAAAAATTATAGTTTTGTATGTATTTTTTCAACATACTTAATATTTTGCACTCCTAAAAATTTATTGTCTGGGTCAATCGCCCCTACTGGCTCTGTCCACACTATGCCACTGACCATTGCCATTATTCAGATTGATTCATTTCAGTTATGTGCTATGAGTGATACATGCTTAGGCGATCATCTATCTTTCTTTTTTCCTACAGTAGGTTGCCATTTCTTTCTGTGTTAGACCAGTTGCCAATCATGGCTATAGAACTTGGTCTGTTCTGCTATTTACCCATAGCTGAGGGGAGAAAAAGAGGATTCATACCTTCCCCAAGAGTATTAGCACGTAAGTGAATGTAATAGCTTTGACTGGAATTCGAATTCGGCTCTCTTATTCCTTAATCCAAGCCGCTTATCCATTATTCCACCCTGTGTGAATTTAAGAAGTTCTTGGGATTTTTAGTTCTCTGTATTTTTATTTAATATAAATATATCAATGTCACAGGTGTAAATTGTTGGCTGAGAGTGATTTTAAAAAAATAATTTTCTAAGACTGACATGTAGAATTCTGATAGTATTGGAATGACAGATGAAACTTCATATTGGTTTGAAGGAATAAGACCCATGCTTCATATTAATGAAATCCCTTTATTTAGGATAGACACTGTGAAAACTAGAAACAAATAAACAACATAATGCAATGGATATGAACAAACACAATACTTTTCAAAGAAACAAATATAAATGGTGACAACAATTACAATATTTCAACAGAAATTGAGGTACAGTGTATTAAAGGCCAGAATTTTAAGAGATGATAGTAGAAGCTAATAATTAGTGGAGGTTAGCTTCAGCCATGCTGATGAACCAGCACTAGCTAGAAAGCAGAAAACACATGATTGCTTCCTTACTCCAAAGTGTCATGTGAAAACAGATCCACAAAAAATTACAGTTAAACATATGTATGTATATATGTGTATATAATTCATATATGGTGTATGGCTGAGTGATTAGAACATTCACTTAATGGCCATGGGACTCTGGTTCC